ACAGTGGCTAGGCTGGCCTATCTGGCAGAGGCGTCTTCACAGTGATGGCGCCGCTATATTTGCGGCAGCCAGGCTACATCACAAAACACCACAACCCACACTAGGAGAATGAAGCTGATGCCAGCCCTGTGCAACCCTTGGACGCTGCTCCCATTGTTTTATTGTTTTATTTTATGTATTTGTATTGCAATTAATTGTATTGCATTGTATTTGTATTGGATTGTATTTGTATTGAATTGTATTGCATTTGTATTGTATTGCATTTGTATTTGCATTTGTATTGTATTGCATTTCTATTATATTTGTATTGTACTGTATTATTTGTATTGTATTGTATTTATATTGTATTGTATTTGTATTGTATTTGTATTGTAGTTTTTGTATTTCTATTATATTTGTATTATACTGTATTGTATTTGTATTGCATTGTATTTGTATTGTACTATACTGTATTTGTATTGTATTTGTATTGCAGTTTTTGTATTTGTATTATATTTGTATTATACTGTATTGTATTTGTATTGTACTATACTGTATTTGTATTGTACTATACTGTATTTGTATTGTATTTGTATTGCAGTTTTTGTATTTGTATTGTATTTGTATTATACTGTATTGTATTTGTATTGCACTGTATTTGTATTGTATCTATATTGTATTTGTATTGTATTGTGTTTGTATTGTATTGTATTGTGTCAAGGAACTGCGCAGCAGCTGTCCAGATAAAGTCGTAGAGAACTTGCAGTTTTATGTCAATAAATATATTTAACACCTATATTTACAGCAGACAAGATAGTCAGGAGCACAAGAATATCATGAGGTAAATCAAAAGGCAGAGCGCACACACAGAAGAAAAAGGCGGATAAAAAAAGGGAAACTCCCCCTTTAGACCCACAGCAACCAATCATAGCGCAGATTGCCTCATGCAGGCGCCTGTGTTCTCCATCCAATCAACCACAACTATGTGTTCTGACCCATTATACACAGTAGCTGTTCCAGCTACTAAATTAAATACCTTAACATATTGTATAGCATTGTATTTATATCCCACCTTTATTATTTTTATAAACTCAAAGCGGCAAATATAATTAATACTCCTTCCTCCTCCTATTTTTCCTACAACAACCCTGTGAGGTGGGTTGGGCTGAGAAAGACTAATCCAAAGTCATCCAGCTGACTTTCACGCGGGACTAGAACTCACCGTCTCCTGGTGATTGGCCCAAAGTCACCCAGTTGGCTTTCATGCCTATGACGGGACTAGAACTCTCCATCTCCTGGTGACTGACCTAAGTCACCCAGTCAGTTTTCGTGCCTAAGCCAGAACTAGAACTCGCCGTCTCCTGGTTTCTAACCTGGTACCTTCACCAGTAGACCTTCATCATCTCTTATGATGGCTGCCTAACCATAGTTTATTAAAAAAACCCAATTGGTTGAAATTCTCCAACAAGAGATGCAGCTGAAATCAAATTATACGCAGGCTCGGCATGTATTTTATTTTAGTGGTCATTTTTTTATTATTATTATTAAATTTCATTGTAAGTTAAAAATATAGAAAAAAATAAAAAACAAAGAAAAAGAGAGAGAGAGTGAAGCAGAAAGAAATAAAACCGACTTCTGATTTTCTTCCTTGTGGTAGATTCCCAAACTAACACAACCATCTTTTGCTTTGCATTTGTATCATTACAAAACCATTCTAATCCTCAAAATCTAAACTGAAAGTTGTTTTTTTCCAGTTCCATGCAAAAACATCCTGAAGCAGTTTCCAAGTAGGAAAAAAAAAGAGAGATTTTTTTTTCTTCTTTAATTAAAACAGTCAATTTCGCCATCTCTACTAACTCCCATCACTTTTGCAATCCACTCTTCCATGTGGGAATTAGTGTTATCTTTCCACCTTCGTACACCTTAAGATTGTCACTGCTGTCAATATTTATAATTAAAAAAGTTCCAAATTTTCTTTCAAATTCTTTGAGGAGACACATGTTGTATGAACCCAACTTTAAGCATAAAGAAAGAAAAATGACTTCTGATTTTCTTCAGTGTGGTAGAGTCCAAAACTAACACAACAATCTTTTGCTTTGCACTTCTATCATTACAAAATCATTCTAATCCACTCAAAGTTTCATTTCCCCCCCCCAGTTTCATGCAAAACGTCCTGAAGCAGTTTCCAAGTAGGAAAAAAAAGAGAGATTTTTTTTCTTCTTTAATTAAAACAGTCAATTTCGCCATCTCTACTAACTCCCATCATTTTTGCAATCCACTCTTCCATTGTGGGAAATAGCGTTATCTTTCCATCTTCGTACACCTTAAGATTGTCACTGCTGTCAACATTTATAATAGCAAAAGTCCCACATTTTCTTTCCAATTCTTTGAGGGGGTGGCATGTTGTCTGAACCCAACTTTAACCAAACCAACTGAACAGCATGCTTTGAAACACAACTCACAACCGCACTCAAGCCTTTCCACATTTGAGATTAAGCAACAGCCCAATGGGGGGGGGGGGTAATCCCCAAACCTAGTTATCCAAACACAGTTTCTACACTCAGATAATAGATATGCCCAGATAATCAACCTTTTAACAGGTAAGGTGATTATGTGGTTCACACCCCATGTGATGACTTCTCTGCTTACACAATGCAGTGGGATGCTTGCTACTAATCCCCTTTTAGTCCAGTATGTTGTGTGAAACCACAACTTTTGGGGAGGTGGGAGACTGGAGACAGATGAGTAAACATTTCCTTCTTTGGCAAATGCGCCAGACTACAGGTAGTCCTTGACTTAACAACCACAACGGAGGCCAAAATGTATGTTGCTAAGCGAGACAGTTGTGAAGGGAATTTTGCCCCATTTTGCAACCTTTCTTGCCACCGTTGTTAAGTGAATCACCGCAGTCCTTTAGGAACGTGGTTGTGAAGGGAATATGGCTTCCACATTGACTTTCCTTACCAGAAGGTCACAAAATGTGATCACATGACCCCAGGACATGGCAAATGTCATAAGGGTGAGCCAGCAAGCATCTGAATTTTGATCATGTGACCACGGGGGTGCTGCCAACGGTCGTAAGTGTGGAAAACAGTCATAAGTCACTTTTTTCGGTGCCCTTGTAACTTTGAATGGACATGAAGGGGCCAAAGTTCCCTCATGCTGGCTGAGGAATTCTGGGAGTTGAAGTCCACGAGTCACGAAGGGGCCATAGTTCCCCCATGCTGGCTGAGGAATTCTGGGAGTTGAAGTCCACAAGTCATGAAGGAGCCATAGTTCCCCCATGCTGGCTGAGGAATTCTGGGAGTTGAAGTCCACGAGTCATGAAGGGGCCATAGTTCCCCCATGCTGGCTCAGGAATTCTGGGAGCTGAAGTCCGCAAGTCATAAAAGGGCCAAGTTTGAAGACCCCTGATGTAAGTCAAGACTATCTGTACGTGCCGGATTAGGAAGCCTACCTTACAAGGCTATTGTAAAATGGCCAATTTGGAACCCATGAAATGTTAAGTATTATTGCAGCAGCAACTGAATTCAGTTGGCAAGGAACGCAGCACACTTAACAGGCTGTTACTTCAACCGTTCATATTGTACGAGATGTTTAAAACGGTTAACGAATGTCTGTCTTCCCTAGGACCACACCACACTCTCTAGCCAAAAGGAATTGCACAAGCTGAATTTATGCAACACATTAAACCACAAAAAAAAAAAAAAACCCGCAGGTTTAACTCTAGCTAGGCTTAACTGGGGCACTCACAAGCCTGCACAGCCTTTTGCTAACCTAATTTAATCCACCTCGGAGAAAAAGTCACCAGGGTCTGAGTAACCGGGTCAGATCTGAGGCCAAGTAGTGTGCACTCTGCACTTGCTCAGGGCTGAGTCCATCCTGCCCAGTGCTGGAGTCCGGTAAGCTAGGGAGCAGAGTGTACTCTGCACATGCTCAGGGCTGCCCAGTGCTGGAGCCTGGCAAGCCAGGCAGCAGAGCACACTCTGCACATGCTCATGGCTGAGCCCCTCCTGCCCAGTACTGGAGCCTGCCAAGCCAGGAAACAGAGCGCACTCTGCACATGCTCAGGGCTGAGTCCCTCCTGCCCAGTTCTGGAGCCTGCCAAGCCAGGCAGCAGAGCGCACTCTGCACATGCTCAGGTCTGAGCCCCTCCTGCCCAGGTCTGGAGACTGCCAAACCTGGGAGCACAATGCACTCTGCACATGCTCAGGTCTGAGCCCCTCCTGCCCAGTGCTGGAGCCTGCCAAGCCAGGCAGCAGAGCGCACTCTGCACATGCTCTGGTTCTATGCCCATCCCGCAGAGCGCCGGAGCCTGCCCAACCAGCTGTGCTCGAGGGTGGTGTGTGTGTGTGTGTGTGTGTGTGTGTAGCAGGGCTGAATAACCCTGACGGGGCTCAAACAAACCGGGAATCATTGTTTCCCTCTCCCCTTCCCCCCCCCTCCCCCAAAGTTCCCAGACTTTCTCCCAAGCCATCCCGCTGGACAAGAGCCCAGCGCTCCCTCCCTCCCTCCCTCCCGCCTCCCCCTTCCAGATGTTCCTCCCTCCGCTTCCATCGGCTGCAAAGTTGCCTTCCCTCCCTTCCTCGCCCCCCCAAATCCCTCCCCTCTCCCCTCCCCAGAAACAGGGGGAGGGGGAGGAGGAGGGGGCGGGCCTTCCCGTGCACGCGCCAGGCGGAGCCGCGCCCTTGGCAGACGCTCCCTCCCTCCTTCCCTCCCCCCCCCTTCCTTCCCTTCCCACGCCGCTGGCAGGGGACAGGCGGGAGAGGGAGGGAGGGAAGGAGGGGGGCCGTCTCGGGGGGCGGGGCGTGCCCGGGGCGCGCGTGCACGAGGCGGAGTTTGCGCGCTGGCGGCGGAGCGCTTTAAAAAAAAAAAAAAGCCCAGCTGGCGGCCGCGGGATTCCACCTTGGCCGAGCGGGGAGGGAAGGAGGGCGCGCTTCGCCCGCTCCGATCGTCCGGCTGCCGCCGCTGCTGCTGCTGCTGCCGCCGCCGCCGCCGCCTCTCCCAGCCGGGGACGGAGCTGGCCGGCAGGCGAGGTGAGTCGGGCGATGCTGGGCTCCGCAGCTGGGGAGGGAAGGGAGACGGGACTGGCTCCGGGTGTGGGCGAGGGCGGCTGCTGCTGCTGCTGCTGCTGGCTGCTCCTCCTGGCCGGCCGGTCGGTCGGTCCTCCGCATCCCTGCAGCTCCGGGACTTGCTTTCGGCTGGAGAGAAAGAAAGGAAAGAGAGAGGGAGAGAGAAAGGGAGAGGGAGAGAGAGAAAGAGAGAGGGAGAGAAAGAGAAAGAGAGGGAGAAAGAGAGAGAGAGAAAGAGGGAGAGAGAGAGAGGGAGAAAGAGAAAGAGAGAGAGAGAAAGAGAGGGAGAGAGAGAAAGAGAAAGAGAGGGAGAGAGAGAGAGAGAGAGAGGGAGAGAGAGAGAAAGAAGGAGAGAGAAAGAGAGAGAGGGAGGGAGAGAGAAAGAGAGGGAGAGAAAGAGAGAGAGGGAGAGAAAGAGAGGGAGAGAGAAAGAGGGAGAGAGAAAGAGAAAGAGAGGGAGAGAGAAAGAGAGAGGGAGAGAGAAAGAGAGGGAGAGAGAAAGAGAGAGAGAGGGAGGGAGAGAGAAACAGGGAGAGAAAGAGAGAAGGAGAAGAGAAAGAGAGAAAGAGAGAGGGAGAAGAGAAAGAGAGGGAGAGAGAAAGAGGGAGAGAGAGAGGGAGAGAGAAAGAGAGAGAGGGAGAGAAAGAGAAAGAGAGGGAGAGAGAAAGAGGGAGAGAAAGAGAGAGGGAGAAGAGGGAGAGAAAGAGAGAGGGAGAAGAGAAAGAGAGGGAGAAAGAGAGAGGGAGAGAAAGAGAAAGAGAGGGAGAAAGAGGGAGAGAAAGAGAGGGAGAAGAGAAAGAGAGAAAGAGAGGGAGAAGAGAAAGAGAGAGGGAGAGAGAGAGGGAGAGAAAGAGAGAGGGAGGGAGAGGGAGAAAGAGAGAGAAGCGCTGGCCACTGAATTTTGCACGGTGCATCGGCGGGGGTGGGGGGGTTGCGCTCCTCCGGGGTGCTTTGTGGGGAGGGGGGCGCGCGAGGGGTGCATCCCTTATTTTCTGCCGGAGGGGGGGAGGACTCGAACAGGCGCTTTCTGCAACTTTGCAACCGCCTGCACGGGAGCTCGGGAAGGGAGTTTCCATTCGAAACGGAGCGAATCTAGAGGGGAAAAGAAGGACCTCTGTGTGTGTGTGTGTGTGTGTGTGTGTGTGTGTGTGTGTGTGTTGGGGATGTGTGGAATGCATTCAGACGACTACTTGCATGTGCGGAGAAGTGCAGAGGAGAGCAACAAAGATGATTAGGGGACTGGAGGCTAAAACACATAAGGAACGGTTGCTGGAATTAGGTATGTCTTGTTTAACGGAGAGAAGGACGAGGGGGGACAGGATAGCAGTCTTCCAGTATCTCAGGGGCTGCCCCAAAGAAGAGAGAGTCAAGCTGTTCTCCAAAGTGCCTGAAGGCAGGACAAGAAGCCACGGATGGAAACTCATCAAGGAGAGAAGCAACCTGGAACTAAGGAGAAACTTCCTGACAGTGAGAACAGTTAAATCAGTGGAACGACTTGCCTCCAGAAGTTGTGGGTTATTAAGAAGAGACTGGACCGCCATTTGACTGACATGGCATAGGATCTCCTGCTTGAGCAAAGGGGTTGGACTAGAAGACCTCCAAGGTCCCTTCCAGTTCTATTCTCATTGAATGATGGAATCGCTTTGTGGCACCCAACCTAGGAAGACACAGGGGAGGGGGGCTCCGATCCGGGGTTCGGCTAGATCCGGAGTTGGGAGGGCGAACCGTATTACCTTGCATGAAAAAAGATTTGGGGGTTACAACCTTGATTAAAAAGGGCAAGGTGGTTAAACGGGGTTATCTTTTTAGGAGACTCTCCTGCAAAGTGCGGGGTCCTGTGGCTTAAGTTGGAAAGTTGGACTACAACTCCCATCAGGCTCGCCATCTGCAAAGGGAAACTTTGCAGAGGCCTGGAGTAAGGGGTGGGCAGCTAAAAAGGGTGTTTTGGTGAGGTGGACGGCGATGGAAGGATTTTGTTTGTTTACATGCTGCCCCTGTTTGCTACCCAAAGGGGATTTTGCTGGCTAGATTTCTTTGCCCAGAATATGGTCAATCCTCAACAGATCATTTAATGACCGTTCAAAGTTACAACGGCTCTGAAAAAAAAGGGTCTTTTTTCACACTTACAACCGAGTCACGTGATCAAAATTCAGACACTTGGTCACTGGTTCATATTTATGACAGTCGCACTGGAAGCTTTTAAGAAGAGACTGGACAACCATGTGTCTGAAAGGGTATAGGGTTTCCTGCCTGAGCAGGGGGTTGGACTAGATGACCTCCAAGGTCCCTTCCAGCTTTATTATTATTAATATTATTGATCATCGCACCGTCAGCCAGATGTTCAGGGTGGATTTGGCATTTTGTCTACCTATCGAGTCCTTCCCGAGGACCTGGGATAGGCAGATGTGGGTGTTTGAGGGTATTACAGATATCGTCGCAGGATGGAAGCAGTTCCTAATAAGGCCGCGTTTTGCAATTGTTGTTGTTGTTGTTGTTATTATTATTATTATTATTATTATTATTATTATTATTATTATTATTATTATTATTATTATTATTATTATTATTATTATTATTCACTTACGACCGGTTGGGTAGTCCTCGACTTACGACCGGTTTAGTCCTCGACTTACGACCGGTTTAGTCCTCGACTTACGACCGGTTTAGTCCTCGACTTACGACCGGTTGGGGTCGCGGCATTAAAAAGGTTGAGAACCACTGCTATAGCGGGTGCAGAGTGTGGCAGCGTGGGCAGTTTTGGGGGCCCCCAGGAATGATCCCTGTGACACCCACTGCTCCGTAACCTAGATCTGCTTCCGGGTGCAATTTGTGGTGTTTGGGATCCCCTTTAAAGCCCTTCATGGCAGGGGTCCAGTTTACTGGAGGGGCCGTCTTGCCCCACTGGGATTGGCCCCTACCACCCGCGGCAGCGAAGGAGGCATGCCGTGGGTCCCCCCCCAGACCAATTATTCCGGCTGGCACGGTCCAGATGGAGGGTCTTCTCTGCTGTGGCTCCTGTCCTCCGGAACGTCTTGTCTCTCCCCCCTCTGTGTGAGGTTAGCCTCAACCCTCCTATCTTTTTGTAAGGGCTTCAAGACGTGGCTCTGCCAATCAGCTTGGGGTCCCAGTGGGGGAACAGCGCATTGGAGGTGGTTGATTGAGTAAGAACAGATTCCCACCTGCCCCGCCCTCCCCACGTGTCCTTGGTTTTCATGTTTGATTTTAACTGTTGATGTTTTAACTTCTAGGTAACCGTAAGCTGCCCAGAGGTGCCCTATGGTAAAATGGGTGGCCAATAAATTTTATAAATGAAAGAAAGGGAGGGAAGGAAGGAAGGAAGGAAGGAAGGAAGGGAGAGAGGGAGGTGGCAATGGAAAGGAGGGAGGGAGGGAGGGAGGGAGGGAGGGAGGAAAGGAAGGAAGGAAGGAAGGAAGGAAGGAAGGAAGGAAGGAGAGGGCAATGGAAAGGAGGGAGGGAGAAAGGAAAGGAAGGAAGGAGAGGGCAATGGAAAGGAGGGAGGGAGGGAGGGAGGAAGGANAGGAAGGAAGGAAGGAAGGAAGGAAGGAAGGAAGGAAGGAAGGAAGGAAGGAAGGAGAGTAATGGAAAGGAGGAAGGATGGAAAGGAGGAAGGAAAAAAGGAGAGGGCAATGGAAGGAAGGAAGGAAGGAAGGAAGGAAGGAGAGCAATGGAAAGGTGGAAGGAAGGAAAGGAGGAAGGAAGAAAGGAAGAAAGGAGAGGGCAATGGAAAGGAGGAAGGAAGGAAGGAAGGAGAGCAATGGAAAGGAGGAAGGAAGGAAAGGAGGAAGGAAGAAAGGAAGAAAGGAGAGGGCAATGGAAAGGAGGAAGGAAGGAAGGAAGGAAGGAGGGAGGGAGGAAGGAAGGAAGGAAAGGTACCAGAAGAATTCAGATTCTGCGCACCCGTGCATTCCTTGCAAGTAATAATCTAGCACGGCAAGAAATGAGAGAGGTTGCAACTTGAGCAGCTGGATTTTTGCACGCAGGGTTTGCTCCTCCTCCAACGCAGCCCTTCTCTGCCTTAAAATTGTGCGGTCCTTCCTTTCTCCCTCATTGGAAGAGTTTGTCTAGACTAGTCAAACCGCGTCGTAAGGACTTCCTTCAAATTTGAGCAGGAATTGCTGTAGGACTTCACCAGAAACATTTGCAAGTACAAAATTAGTATTATTATTGTTGTTGTTGTTATTAATAAAGTTGGAAGGGACCTTGGAGGTCATCTAGTCCAACCCCCTGCTCAGGCAGGAAACCCTATACCATTTTAGACATTGAGCCCAAAATTTCTGTTGCAAAGGGAGATCGTTGTTAGATGAGTTTTGCCCCGCTTTAGGACCTTTCTCACCACAGTTTTTAAGTGAATCCTGCAGTTGTTCAGTTGGTAACACAGTCCTTAAATGAATTAGGCTTCCTCCAGTTGACTTTGCTTGTCAGAAGATCGCAAAAGGGGATCACGTGACCCCCCGGGACACTGCGACCGTCGTAAATATGAGTCATTTGGCAAGGGTCTGAATTTTGATCACGTGACCGTGGGGCTGCTGCAACGGTCGTAAGTGTGAAAAATGGTCGGTCACTAAAAAAACTGGTCTCTAAGCGAGGACTACCTGTGTGTATGTATAATCGCACCACGCCGAGCCCTTCTGCAATCCCATTTTGCCAGGGAGAAGTCGAGAGAGACAGATTCACATGTGAACAAGTCAATCCTATCTGCTTGAATGCAGTTTCTGCTTTTCCCACGGTGCTGGGTCCAGATGGGCTACTGGCAGAGATAATAACAAAAACAACAACAACAACAACAACAACAACAATAATAATAATAATAATAATAATAAAATAATAATAATAAATAATAATAATAATAATAATAATAATAATAATAATAATAATAATAATAATAATAATAATAATAATAATAATAAAATTGGAAGGAACCTTGGAGGTCATCTAGTCCAACC